TCAGTTAAATAATAAGAAAAAGGCAAATCAGTATGACCAAAATGAATGAAGTCAAACTATCAAATTACTTGTGTATTTTAAAAGATTTTTGCTTTATATTGATATCAATTACATGTTTTTTAAATCATGCCCTATTAAACGTCTTAAAGGATCGGATCAGCTTCAGTTTTTCACTTACAGCGTGCTTCTATTCATAACCCCGAGTCCGAACATCAGCATAGATACTTTGTCCCTCGGCTGCCTTCGCACCTCTCTTCACTTTTAGCTCGGTCTTCCTCTTAGTAAATTTTGGTTCAGAATAAACCAAAACATCTTCATTTGTCTGCAGGAAGAAATCATTAATAATGAAGAAAAGTCACAAGATCCAATTACTGACTGATGTTACCAACTTACCAATTGACTTTGCTGGCCAGCAGTTATTTCAGAACGCGAGGTGGCCCCTAAATTATAGCATGAAACAAAATTATGCAGGAGAAATATTTTATATTAAAAGAAAGTAATGTTACATAGAATAACGAGGTTTTCATACCAGTAACAGCATTCTTCACTTTCTGGATGGTGTGGATTAGATAGACAATAACAGTCAAGCTGATTACCAAAGCAGAACACAGAACAATGACCATAGTTGTCCCCAGAGAAAGAGAAAAAGATGATCCTGGAAATTTAAGAACCAAAAAACATTGTATTGTGCATAGAATAAAAATAAGTATGATTTAGCTTTGAGGATTCTGATTCTTTGTAAACTAGTAACTAAAAAGGAAAGTTTAGCAAACATATGTCAGTTATACCTTGTATTTGCAGTTTTGTTCTGTTTCCAAACAGCATCTGTCCACATTTGGCCACAGCACAGTGATACGTTCCAGCATCAGAGGACCTGATATTGCTCCATGAGAAGCTGTAGACACATTTCATTGCAGATGGAGCTCCAGGAAGCTGCTCACACTTATCACCAGCATTTCCATGAACATAAATCACATTGGGTTGAGATTCATTAGATGAAGTTTTAAACCAGTGAACCCTTGGATGATCTGAACATGAGAGGCTGTCAGCATCAGAGATAACTGAACACTGAAGGGTCACAGAGTCTC